CAAGTTTTACACAGTTTTTGTGCAAAACCAAGCAGTGCAGCTGGTTGTCTTCACAGCTCTTTCTCTGTCCACCTTCATGATGTTGCACTCTGCCCTGCGATCTGTTTGCAGTCTGATCCTGATCTTCTCTGGTGACCGACGAAGACCTCCCGTTCTTCCCGTCTCTTTGCTGCAGTAAAGGGACGTCAAGGAACTCGATCCCTCTGACGGCTGCATCAATAAAAACTGATCCGAAGCAACACAGATATCACATCAGGTTTAGAGGTTTTGAAGCTGCACTTTTATAGGTTCTCCCACTGGACAGGAACTCTGGGAAAGTTGCCTCGACTTCTCCTCCTGTGCTTCAACAAACACCATAAAAGAGATAACATCCACTTCATTTTGCGGTCCTTCTAAATGATCCGTGAAGCTCTGATTTATGGTCAGCAAGCCGACCAAGTCACTGATCAGAACCATGACAGACCCAGTCTCCTGATACATCTTATAATTTTCTCTGTTAGCACAATATGTACCCTCTAAAATCTACTCCCTGCCATCCCTAACCCTGCATTTATTGGTTTAATCACACCACGTCATGAAACAGACTATTTCCTGGATAAGCACATCCATAAACCATCACAGTGAAAAGAAAAAGGTTTATAAGCTTTTCGTCTTGCCAGCTTTATTTTGTACTTTGTCTGTTTTACATGTGGGTTCATTGGATCTATGTAACTATTAACTACACAAATAATTGTTTTTCTTTTTCTAAAATGATTAGCATGACTCCCCTTTAATGAAATAAATGGACGATGCTGCACATCTGACCAGAAAGTAAGTCGTCCTTTGTCTCCCTCTAGTGGCCAAAAAGTGTCATAACTCACAGAAAATTGATTTTGACTGGGGGGGGACTCTTCTTTGTATTTCTGTATGAAAGCTGTCCATCTAAGTTAGACGTGTTGTCCTATTTTCTGTCAGAGTTGCAGATTCACATCCTGAGTGGACAGAAACTTCTCGTTCGTTTGAAACGGGTTCCAAATGAATGGCGTTCTCTGCTGGGCCCACAGCTGAGGCTCCAAGCAGTGGGCTCTGGTGGGCTCAGATGTTAAAGGGAGGGCCGTCCTCATGTTTGGGTGACGGTAAACCGGTGGAAACAGGAAGGAGTCTCTGTGGACATCCTGTGGGAACTTGTCCAGGGTGTGTGGCAACATGTCACTCAGGTGATGGGGAACTGGATGGAGAAATGCTTATACGTTAACGTCTCAGAATATATGGCTACAAACATTCCTTAAGTCATTTCTATTCTGTGTCTAATGACACATGTTTTGTTTAAACTACTTTTTTTTCTGAAAGTCAAAGCTAAAATAATGTCTTTACATTTAAAAAAGCACTGAAGGTGTGCAGGTTTTTAAAGGAAACCAAATATCTCTAACATCAATTTTTCTTACAGACTCCTGCATGACAGGACGTAGATAATCATTTAAGGTAAAGTCAAATTAAAGACTTTAATTTAAAAAAACTCCTAAAAAATCTCCATGACCATACCTGTGTCTGTTTGAAAGAAGTAACTACTTTGCAACTTTCTTGTAGCTTTGTGCTGCAACGAGCGTTCACGGGTCATTTCCTGCAAATCAACAAAAGCAAAGTTGAAGTTTCTCTATCATTTGTGAGCATTGGTATATGTTGCTCCTATAAAGTTTCAAATCTTAGCTTTTTGTTTTGTCAGGGTTATGTGCTCAAACATTCATTTGATAGAAAAACGTTCAATTCAAATTATTCCTAAAAGGACTAAATTACTCCTAAGGCCTATTAGTCAAAAATCATCATCATCCTACCTGCTGAGATGTGACGCTGACAGGATTCAGAGGAACTACACTGCTTTGCTCTTCAAACACTGAAACTGTAACAAAGAGAGGTTTTGTAAAAATAATAAAGATTTTTAGAGTGTAAAATGTAAACGGAAAGAATCGCAGATCTCACAAACCCATATATTATTCACGGTGGAACATAGTCAACATACCAAATGTTTAGTATTTTTATTTTATCTTAAATATTCATAAAATCTTAAATCTTCATCTTGTGTTTGACCATAAATCTTATGTAGATTGTGAAGAGGGTAGGTCCCAAGACTGAACCTTGTGGTGCACCATTAACAGCTATCTGTTAACGGTGTACCACAAGGCTCAGTCTTAGGACCCACCCTCTTCACAATCTACATAATATAGGGCAGATCATTCCTGATGCTGCGTCCTTACATTTCTTTTCCGACGACACAGTTGTTTATTGTTGAGCTGGAACAGTTGCTAAGATTTTCCAGCTTTTACAGTCTGAATTCGACATCATCCAGTCAGATTTGTTCCCTCTCAAACTGGTGCTACATGCTGATAAAACCAAAGGGATGTTGTTTTCAAACAGGAAGTTGGTCCCAGCAGTCCGTCCTTCTATTTTGTCTTCGAATGGTGCCCCTGTGAGTTTGTCAATTCTTATAAATATTTGGGTATCTTGGTTTTGCATCTTTTTTTAAGCCCCGTGCTGAAAACATTGTAAAGAAACTAAACGTTAAATTGGGTTTCTTTTTAAGAAATAGATCCTGTTTAACTCTGAATGCTAGGAAACGCCTTGTAATTGCGACTTTCCTTCCCTCCATTGATTACGGTGACATTATTTACATGAACACTCCTACAAGCACCCTGCAGATGTTGGACACTATCACAGTGCGCCAAGATTCATAACTGGCTGTAACTACCGTGCCCACCACTGCACCTATAACCTGCTTACTGTGTGCGCTGCTCGTCTGCTTGGTTTCTCTCCTCCATTTAGCCCTCCTGTTTGAAAACCAGACCTTTAAGAGAGGAGAGAAACATCTCAGGAGGACGAGGACGACCAGATGTGGGGATAAAAACATACAAAATGATGAGCTTACCTTGATGGTGTCTTCAGGGAGTTTAGTTTTAGCAGACAGTTTCTCTCTTGTGTACAGATCAGCGTACTTGCTTTGTAAGAATTCTGGTTTTGGAGACAGAAACGTGTTTTGTGAGTGTAAACTTCACATTGTTGAGGTTTGGTGTACCGGATGGGTTTTGGTCACCTTGCTCCAGGACCCTCCTCTGCTCAGGGGTGAAGGCGGTGCGGTTTCTTTGATGAGCACCTTTAGATTTCTGCTCATCCGGCAGCGTTTCTTGTTCCAGAGAATATGAATCTGTGAGGCCAAACAGACGTGATAGATGATGTGTTTATTTCAGAGAAGGTGATCAAATGAATTTATTGTTGTCAGACTCACGTCTCTCATTCCTCGCATGGGAGTTCATCTCCATGCACAGCGGCCCATGATCCAAGTGGATTTTTCTCAAAATCCGATTTATGGATGAAACCTTGTGGAACAAAACGCTCCAGTAACTGCTGACATATTGGCACGTTTGAAATAAAAACCCCCGTTTAGATCTCACTCACGCTGGGGACTTTGCGTATCCGTGCCAGTGCAAGACGTTGGCGTATTTCCCACGCAAATATAGTTGGGTGTTCTCTTTTGCACTGGATGATGGTGGAGATGACCCCGGGGGTGAGAAGTCGGGGCCGGCTCCCTCCAATAGTTTTTGGCTCCACAAGTCCCGTACTCCGGTAGCGGCCCAGGATCTTACTGACACACCCGTTGGACACCTGAAGACATGCAGTTAGACATAATTCATTAATATTGCCTGAAGCTGATAGGCAAAGGCAGATGATGTTTTTTGCCTGTCTTTGTGTGTGTCTGTTAGCAGAATATCTCATGAACCACCGGCCCAACTTTGATGAAACTTGTTGAAGATAATCATACAATATATATCTATTATTGATTAGATTTTGGAGTTGACTCGAATCAAAGTAGCTGTCACAGCTGTTGGAACTTGAAAAACGCATAAATGGCTTTAACTCAGTCAATTTTACAGAGATTGGCCTAAAGTTTGGTGTGGTAATAGCTAGGATGTATCTCAAACATATAGTCTAATGCGAACAGTGTAAAAACAAACTAGTTGTCTAAAATCTTGCTACTAACTGTTTGGAGTAGACTATGTCCGTCTGTTAGCAAAATATCTTGTGAACCACAGAACGGATTTTAATGAAACTTTCAGAAAGGTATTATTGGATGTGCATCTACAGCTCTTTAACTTTAGCAGTCAATCCAATCAAAGTGGCCGCCATAGTTAATCGACCTTAACCAACAAATGTGGCTAAAACGCAGTTTTTCCAGACGCAAAGCTTGCATTTAATTAACTTGATAGAAGCAGAGACGTACTACTGCGACATCTCGCGATAATTCATGGAGATTGCGCACACATTCGAACGAACCAGACACAATTGAGTGATTTTTCAACATAAAAATAATTTTCGTGTAAAACTCTGGCATGAAAGCTCCTTAACTGAGTCATAACCTGCATTTTATATCCAGCTGACGTCATTTCAGAGCAACTTCTTGCACAGAAAACGCGTCAAAGTTGTGCCATTTTGGAGCGTGCGCACCCGCAGAATCCTGGAGATGTGACTCGGACGGACTCCCTCCGAGGCCAGCTGGATCATGTCCCGTCTCTTGGACTCAGGGAGAGGTCTTCCGTTGAGGAACATCCCTCCGAGCTGGTTCACGCTGCCGACACCTTTTCATGAAACAACAGAAATCTCCCGAACTGCTCCTTAAATCGATCAGTGCACAAGGAGTGAAAGCTGACCTTTGGTGTGCAGGTCCTTGCTGGTTCCGCGCATCTTGTTTAGCTTTGAGGATGAAACTTCTTGTGAGGAGAGACCAGGAGCGCACCTGCTCTGCCGCACAATGAGCGCAATCAGAGCTGTCCGCAGACATTTATGGGCCAAAGCTGAACATGACGCGGTGCTTCCTGATGTGTCAATAACTCCGCAGACAACCCGTTCTTGTTTTTAGCCTTACTCTGCACATTTTAGAATATTAACTTCCATCTCCTTATTATCCATAAAAAAGTGATGCGCCTTCATGTTTTGGAGATTTTAACCCAAGAATCAATTTTTTTTTGTGCTCTGCCGCAAAATCAAAATGAAATTGGCGCACAATTCCTCAAGGATTTACACAGAATCCTTAGGTTTGCTTCATTGTTTTGGTTAAAATATTATATTATCTTGATTTTAATACGTAAAAAAAATACATTTACATGTAAATTGGCAGTAAAGAGAGTTTTGTTTTTGCGCAGTGGATGTCGGTCCAAAGTGCGCCACATTGCAGCTCTCCGACTTTCTTCTTTGTCTCTGCATCAAGTTGAGAACAAGTTTCTTAGAGCTCTAAAATATCAGATATACAAAGAAATCCTGCCATCTGGGAAAGACTAGTAGTCACGTGACTGGAGCATCCCTCAGGTGAAGTGGCTCAGATTAAAATAAAGATCTCCGGCCTCCTCTCCATAAAGCAAACATTTGGAAATCTGCTCCATCCACGACTGCCATATGGTAAAGTGCTTTTGATAAATCATAAATCCATCACCTTGTCTATCTTTATTACATTTTCTTCCAAAACGTGAACAAATAAGAGGCGCGCGTGTGGGCGCAAAGGGGGCCAGTTGAAGGGGGGACCAGGTTTAGAGGTAGGCGGACGTCCTCACAGATGTTCCTTGAGCAGATAGCAGATAAAAATGCGTTGTAAACGGTTTCAGGAGGAAATATTTGACGAGCAAATATTAGCTCATGTGGAAAAAGCCACACAACGCCCGTCTTTTGGGCCTGTTTAATGACTAATTGGAGCTCATTAGTTGGGTCCACACAGATGGAAGTGCCACCAAAATAAAGGCTCGGATCTGGAAATGCCATATGGTCCACATTATACATTAACCACGAGTCAGAGCACAATGATACTCTGTGCACAGTCAGGGAAACTGGATGGAGAGCAGCCATTTTGGACACCACCATCTCCTTGCCAACCGAGACAAAGGGTTAATGAGAGTGGTTTTGTTTATTACTGGGAATGTAATGTGGTCTGTAATATATAGTACTTTATTGTAGGCATAGTGTGTGCCCAATGAGGCTGATTTAAGTTGCCTGCTTAAGTCGAGTTGTTAAAACTGCACCGCGTTTTTGCGGTGCGTAAATTCTAATCTGGTTTCGGCTCAGGAAAGGAGCGGGAGTCTGATTACCTCTAGTGGCACAGATAACAACGTTTAGATTTGATGCCAAGTCTTTTATTCTGTCCATAAAACATATAAATAGGTAAAACCAGACACTTGTGTGTTTTGAAAAGCGTGGAGAAATGTGACTAAATCAGCCGCGTAAAACGGTTTCCAAAACCTCTCCAAACGCGCCCAAAAGCGCCGTGTGCGCAACGGAGGAGCTGCGTCATTGCTGGATTTCTCCTCCGTGTTTGGAGACAACAATCCAAATCTCATTCTGTCATTGCGCTAAGAGTTTGCTTCAGTGGATAATCTTGATTTCTACAAGGTCAGAAAATTATTTCAGTTCACATTTTGCTAAAATTAAACGGTGGTTAGTCGGTTTTGCCTAGAAGTTCAATTTGGACTCCTATTTATTTTCTGAATGTGTAATTCAGTTTTTCATAGTCTTGCAAACTTTAATGACTTTCAACCTTAAAGGTACTGAAGATTTCCACTTTATTGTTGCAACAAAAATCAATTGTGATAACCAATTAAATGTTTAGGTGAGGTACCTAAGCTCAAAACCTTGCATGTTTTGTTAACATTATATTTAACATTATTAAAACATTAACTTGTTTTTGCATTCAAGTAAGTTTTAAATGAATAATGTAGCATTTGTCATATTTTATTCACTATAGGACAAATCATATTTTTATAATAATCACATAGTTGTGCATTTTCTTTAACCAACCAAGCAAGACATTTAAAGTTTTCTAAGTTTTTTGGCAAAATTTACCCATCTTTTAAAAACTATAATTAAATCCATCCATCCACCATCTTTTACCCACTTCTTCCTTTTAGGGTCATGGAGTCTATAATTAAATGATTGGTTTATTTGCTAGCTCTCTTGCAGTCTGATTAATTCCTTTTGGGGTCAAAATCAGATATAATCCAGATTAATACCAGAAGCTGTAATATTTTTGCTGAAGGTTGCTTTTCAGATGAAACATTCAAAACAAAACAGTTCAACGCTAATTTTATAGGCAAAATGTTTAAAACTTTTAGGAAACATAAGGAGAGATGATTGGAGATTAAATTGCTGGGAAAGGAGAAAAAAAATGATAAAACCTGAAGCAATTTTGAGTTAAAATTTTAAAGATGGCAATGTTCCACAAAGCCACAAAAGAAAACCTTTTTAGATTAACCCACAAAGATCTGAAGGATGCTTGAAGGGCGCTTCATGCAAAAACATATTTAACCTTCTCAGTATCATCTTACAGACTCAGTACTTCACAACCATTAGTTACAGGATCACTGAATGGTCTTCTGCACATTATAAAATATAAACGTATAAACTCTGGGTGGAGTTTGCATGTTCTGTCTCCTTCAATGTTTGGGTTTTCTCTATGTAGGCCTATACTCCTGTTTCTTCCCACATACTAAAAACATGCATGTTAGGCTAATTGGGTAATTAAATTGTCCCTAGGTGTTAGTGACAGAGTGAATGTTTGTTAGTCTCGTTTGTCTCTGTGATAGACTGGAGGCAACAGTGACCCTTGTGACCCAAAAGGAAGAAGCGAGTAAAGATAATGGATGAATTGAAGCAGGGCAACCTTCAGAAGATCTTTAAATGCATGGCCACCAAAACCCTAACAGAAAGTGCAAACATTTTTTTAAATGTTGTTGTCATTATGGGCTATCTAAAAAAATCAATAAAAAAAAAATCTCGAGTTTGGGAGTTAAAGAATCGTCTGATGCTTTTTTGTACTTTACAGTTAATATTCTTAATTGAAACAGCACAATCGCTCCTAAACTCACCAAAGCTTGTCCTCTACCCTCGTACATTTGTATTCTTTATTGAAACTAGCGTCCCTTGGGAGAATACTAATGGCCAGCAGCCTCGCATGCTAAATATTTCAGCAAACATCTCATGAGATCTGTTGACACTCTGTGTGGAAAACTTTCATCTACTCCCACACCAAACTGTAACTCAATATCAGTCAAATTGACCGTGTTAAAACATGTTGTGCTTGCTAAAGTTGATTAGCAGTGGCGGCTATCTTGAACTGATTTGACTTAATAACTCATCTGTAGCTGTACAGCTAATGATTAGTTTCTGTGAGTTGCATTGAAATCCATTCAGCAGTATTTTGCTAACAGACACATTATGCACCAAGTGTGTTTGGGGTTCAGTGGGAGAAGTGGTGTAGTCTACATTTTTGTAATGGGTATACTGTGATTACAAACCCAAGTACACTGGTTAGTACAACGTAATCGTCAATTGATTTGGATTTTGAAGCATATTGAACATTTCCAAATTTCTCTGATGCTTATATTTGAATGAATGTACAACGAACTTTGTGACAACAGTTGTCTTTATTAAAAACATGCTATAGAATTTATAAAACCGTGTCAAAGCAAAACATGTTCAAGTATTACGTAGTAAGAACAGAAGTATTAATTATACAAAAATTCTCTCGAATGTAATGAACAAGTGCTGCATACAGATAGATTGTTACAGAACTACAGTTTAACGTATCAATGACACAGTGCCTAATGATATGTCATGTATCATTGGACACTTTTAAGTGGTTATACTGAAATAATTAAGCCTTTCTAACGGGTATACTCTGTATACCTGCGTATCGCGTAGACTGAGTGGGACACCCTAGTGTGTTTATATATGGGACAACATTTCTGGACAATTTTACATTTACTGTAGGGCCTCATACAACCATCTCCACCATACTTTAGATTTCTGCAACTTTTATCAAAATAAAATTAATCTGTGTGTCATTTGTCAAAAAAAAAGTTGCTTTAATGTTCATTAACATATGTGCTTACTTTAAAAATAATGCAAGTTACTTCATAAATTGATTAAAATGTAAAAAAAAATAATAATAACTGTAACGACTGATGCATTTTCTGTGCTCCGTCAAACTAAAAGCAGACGCGTTGTATTTGTTTTGACGCGACGCTTTTGTTGAAGATGATTTTTTTTTTCCCAGTTACATGTGAACGCACCGTTATCTGGGGTATCACTACGCTGACGTGTCGTAGCTGCTGCTCCGGAACTCTTTATTTCAATTTGCACGAGCGCTCTCCGTCCGCTTCCATTCATAACCGCTCCTCAGACCCGGAAAGATTTCTTTGCGTGTGTGTGTGTGCGCGTGCGTGTGTGTGTATGCCAGGCAAAGTGTGTTTCCGGTATAACGTGTGTGTTGGTTGGTGTTCAGCCTTTTTCTCCTGGCTTTCAGTAGAACAGTCATTCCAGAGAGTCCCAGCTCACATATCTGGTCAAACCCTTTAAACGTCTAATCGGTGGACATGGCATCTGTTTCGGCACCAACGCAAACGGCCCCAGTTCTGGCTGCTACTTTGCAAAGAGGAATTGTGAAAATGGTATGAATCCTGACATGTGAATATGAAAGCTGACTTACTGTAGAGACAGCTAGTTAGCTTAGGGCTAATGAGGACCTAAATAACAACAGGTTCTTGCTTTACTTTATGGAGCAACTTGATTGTTATTACGAAAATAAACGTGTTTAAATCCAGCGCTGTCATTACATTATCAGCCGTCTGTCACATTCACGCTTAATTGGCTGCAACAACACGCCTGCTAACTAGCATGCTAGCTGCTTTATAAAACAGCCCCGATTTCCAACTCTTAATCGGCGAACTACTTTCTTGACAAACCTCAAGCGTACTGACTAATGTGAAGCTGATAAACGCTGACTGACAGGTTCGGTTTACGTTGGTTAAACTTTGAGCTGGGTGGACAATTGTTAAAGTGAGAAAGTTGTGATTTGTAGCCAAACAGATGGCGAGTTTCTCAGCTAAATGCTAGCTAGCTGCTAGCTCGTTAGCATGTACTGTCGAGCGCCTGTTAGGTTAAACGGACAAAGTTTGCTGGATGCTATAACAATGTCAGGCTTGTGTTTCACACCACTATATGAGGTTGTTTAATTTATTTGCCAACATGTACATTTTGTCTACTAGCGTACACGCTAACACGAGAAGCGTGGCTTTTAGCTTTGCGATTTGTTTGTCGCCACTTAGCGTTTCTTTTAAATCCCGTTTAACACGCTTAAGGCAGAGTATATAATGTACATTTACAGATATTATCTGTTGGAAAGCTGGGGAGTGTGTCTCGTTACAGAGAATGTTTTCTCCGAGCTGGTCAGCACCAACCATTGCTGGAAACTGACACGTAGCTACAACTTTCTTGCCCCCTGTAATTTGACAGTGGAGTTTTCTGGGTTTACTCTTTTTTGTTTATCTTTTGACTTTATCCGTACGACAGCGTGACCCTTATTTAAAGAGTCTTTTCCACATATGCAGCTTTTAAATGTTCAAAAGTGCACTAGTCTTCTTGTCAAACATGTGTTTTCTTGCTCAAGGATATTTAAGTTGCTGTTAGATTAGGTGCTGTTTCTTGTCATATCTTCTCGGTGTACATATTTTTGTTTTGGTTCTTTTGCTGTTAATCTGAGAAACATGTCTAAGGCAGCTTTATACCTTTTTTTTTTGTTTATGTTGTTTGAAAATAGATGATTAAGTCATGGTAAGATAACAATATTAAACTGAATTTAAGTGGTATAACTGCAGATTCTCCTGAAATGCCAAATTAACTAGGGGTTCACCGATAAATCGATTCCGATTTCCTTAATTTTGGGAGATCAGAGATTGTCCGATACGTACATGAGAAACAACAATTGTCTAAACTTTATTTATATTTCAGAGCACTACCTTATGGGCAGTTAAAACAAGTTTGTATTGTTTCTAGGATATTGTTCAAGGGTTTGTTTTTCAATCAAATAATGGGAAATTGAAGGTGCATTGTGACCTTATAACACCCGACAGTGTCGCTTATAAAACAAAATAGGTATCGGCCAAAATCGGAATTGGCAGGTCAGACTTTTTTAGAAATCTGTCATCGATCGGCCAGAAAACTGCGCTCCTAAAATGAACACACTTCAGTTATTGCAGGAATATGAGTTATTTTGAATGCATGCAGTTCAGACTTGTGCAGGACTGAAAGAGTAGTGTCTTAACTCCACAGTGACTTTATATTGAAAGAACGCAACCTTTTCATTGCAGTCCTATTTAATTGTTTACATACAAGCAACCAGTGAGGATGACTGTTCTGCTAATTTGACCAGACTGCTCATTCAGACAGGATTGGCTAACACAAAGCTTTGTTTTTGAAGAAAAACGAAACGGAACCCGTTAGATTCTTGAAATTTCAAATAACCATTTGGGAGAAATTACTTTGTCTTCTCTTTTAAAATATTAAAACACATTTTTCTTTGTTTACATGTCATCAGATTAGTTGCTAAGAGGCTTCCAGATTGAAAACGTACAGTAATCAAGTTAGCTGTAAAACAGTATTTCAGCCGATGGCTCATCTTTTTGTGCGCTGCTGTGCTTAAATGGAGTTGGACAGTTGGTGATGAGCAGCAGCAATTTGATGAGTTTATCTAGCTCACATCTTAGATCAACAACACCCAGGGATGCTTCCTGCAGACACGCTCAAGAGTCTGCAGATAAAAAGTGTTTGCTCAGATTCACATAAATGCCATGGTTGTCAAACCCAAGAAGAGATTTTTGTGTATTGTGCTACGTTATCACAAGGAGATCTCATCTTTCATTTGACACCCAACGTTACCATGGCAACGTGCAGTGATGATGCTACTTGCTCTTTTAACAAGATTTTTTTTTTCTTGCATGTTGCACCTTTTGAAATACTTTATAAACTGGCAACTCTGGAAAATATACTTTCCTATTGTTTTTTTTTTCCCCAGATTAATTTTATTTTCATATATATTTTCCTCTTTTTACCGGTACACAACCTGAATATATCCATAAATCTATTGGAAGTAAACAAATGTTTTTATGACATTTATTCTTGGTGTCGTTAGTTTGGTGATGAGATGGTTTTGAACAGTGATGAATCGTGGTACATGCATTTGTTAAATAAAGCAGTGGATGGTAGAAATGTTAAATTTTAATGTTGAATTAGAAATGTTGATTTTCTTTGAAGGTGTTTTGCATTTGATTTATTCAGGTCTTGTCCGGCTGTGCCATTATTGTTCGAGGCCAGCCTCGAGGAGGCCCGCCCCCCGAGCGTCAGATCAACCTCAGTAACATTCGAGCCGGGGCCATAGCGCGTCGTGCAGCGCAGGCCCAGCCCGACACCAAGGACACCCCTGATGAGGTAACACGGCTTTTCCCCAACACATACTTTGAGCACTTCACCTTGCACAGTATTTTTCTTTAAATCTTTGGCATTAATTGTTGGCGTCTACCCTGTCTGTCTTTTAACAAAGTATTTCATGATCCACTGGAGGAATTTTGATGAAACTCAAAGATTTTGCATCTAAAATTCATTAACATATGGAATCAACCAAATCCAAGATGGGTTCCATATAGGGCTGGGCAATATGGACCAAAATTAACATCTCAATATTTTAAGATAAATGGCGATATATGATAAGTATCTCTTTTTTTTTCCATAAAGTAATAACAAAAAATATATTTGAGTCAAGGCTTTGTCCCAGTTGTCACACGGGCACATTTATTAACAAACAACTGTGACTCTACAAAATAAATGTCTAAAATATAAACTATTTACATATAATAAATAATAATCCTCCTCAGCTGCGCCGCCTTCACAATGTTAGTAAGTGTGTGTGAAGCAGCAGTGAGGGGTTGTGTTTGTATTCAGCGAGGGAGGAGGAGGGGCCACATGAAGTTGGCGGCGCAGACGGGCAGTAAAAGAACTACACACAGATTTTCAAGTCTTACAGTGAGAGGGAGCACAACATTAATAAAGCAGTGGCTTATCATATCACTAAACAATGTATTGTTCGGTGTATTGTTTTGCGCTATTAGTAATTAGCATATATCTTAGATCTGTTTGCGTGCCGTTTGGCATATCTTAGTGTACATCTTAGATCCTTATTGGGTTATTTGTTTATTTAAGGATCCCCATTAGGTTCTACCGTAGTAGAGACTATTATTCCTGGGATCCACACTAAAAACATTGCAATTTACCATTTCTTTTTACACTTTATATTTTTGCTATTGTTGGATGTAACTGTGACCCTGTGTACACAATTTCGTTCCACCTCATGTACCACATGTGATGCGAATGACAAATAACCTTGAACCTTAAAGACACGGTCCTTGGAGGCTAACAAGATGGCTAACTGTAGCCGTCTTGGTCCACAGTTGGGACTGGGATCGTGTTTTTAGCGATATAAGCTGCTGATTTATTAATGTCGCACCACCTCTCACTGTTCCTCTCATAACACACAGCACGGCTAAATGAGTTTTATACGTGATTAGTTTCAGGGAAGGAGGCTGAAAACGCAGTCGGAGTTGTAGCTATACTTTATAGCTCTGTTTTAAATGGTGAAAAAGATTCGTAGTGCCGACCTTATGTCGGGACTTGTTTTCGGCGTTGTTTACAGAAAACATTTTTCTGCGGCTCATCTGACAATTGAAATCCAAACTTCTCCGAAATAACGGCCTTTGTTTTTCCGTTTGCTCACCAACTAAGTTGCACTTCGATATCTCCCGTTTACTTGTGCTAAACTCCCGCCCACCAGGAGAAGCAGGAAGTGGGCGGAGCGCACATGGGTGAGAGGGCTGGGTTTGTATTCAGTGAGGGAGAAGGAGGGGCCACGTGAAGTTGGCCGTGCAGACGGGAGATATTTGAACGACAACTTATGGTTGTGATAGAGCCATTTTAACCATCGTAAATTAAAAAACTCGTGATACATAGAGTATATTTGATACATATATTTGATACATCACACAGCCCTAGTTCCACAGCCAATCAACCAGCCAGTCAACACAAAAATTCAGTTGAATTTACAAATATTGTGCTAAAGTTTAAATATATCCTCAACACATACTTTGATCTCTTAACAGATCCTTCGATATATTGTGCCTAACATTTACAAGACTGATCCGAAACATCTACAACTCTGTCCCTTAAGATGAGCTTCGTTAATTCAGTCATAAACGGCAGTGAGTGATAAGTATTTCTTAAAGGAATGCTAGGTCACGAATTTAAAGTTTGCACGTGTCGTACAAGAGCAGTAAATCTCTAAATCATATCGTACTCCATATTTGAAATCAAGGGATGTTAAATTGGCTCTTTCATTTAATTATGTGAAGAAGTCTTGTTTTAATCTTGGTAAAACTTTCCTTTTTATTGAGTTGAAGTAAATTAAAAGATAAACTTTCTCATCTGAAAGAACTAATTTAATTTCTTTTTATCATACCTGACATAACTCTTGCCTGTTCTGCTTCCTGATTAAAACAATATTTACTTTTGGATCTTTCAGGGCTGTAAAGGTTTTTAGAAATTTTAAATATTTTGTTGTTGTAGTGTGTGACTATTTTCTTATTAGGTAAAAGCAAACCGTTAAGATAAACTCCAGAATTGTTAGTTTGAATAAGATATGTGATTTTTATTTCATGTTATTAAACTAATACTGTTGAAGAGCCCTTTAACTGTATGTTTGAATTGACAAAAGCCTGCTTTTGATGGGTTTACCAGATGTAAACACATCTTGACATGTTGCTGCATTATTTCCTGCTTTTTATGATGGACGATGAATAAGTAGTTTTTCTCTACTGGCTATTTATTTATTCTGTGGTCGATCGGTCTTAAATCCACCTTGAAATAGGTCTAAATACTTGATTGGCATGTTCTGAATATTTGTTTTAGCCATGGGCATTCCAAGCCAGAGAGTTCCTGAGGAAGAAGCTAATTGGCAAAGAAGTGTGCTTCACCGTGGAAATCAAGACAAGCTTGGGCCGCGAGTACGGCATGGTGTACCTGGGGAAAGGTACTTTGAAACTCTCATTGTTTACTGTTGAGTTTTCAACACCTTGTTTTTCAGAATAAATCCACATTTTATAACGTTTCTGTAACGGATCAAGAATAATATTCCACTATCTTTATACCATTAAACATTTTAACAATACAACTGTTCAGAGTACTTTGCTGCATAGTTGTACCTGTTGCAGTGACATATGTTCCTGTATCCTTTCTCTAGACACATCAGGAGAAAACATCGCTGAGTCTTTGGTAAACGAAGGCTTCGCTAATGTCAGAAGAGAAGGAATCAGGGGAAACAAGTAAGAGTTTTTGAATTATTTTGAAGATTTTTCAACCCTTTTTTTTTATAAACGCAAATGAGAGCTTTGCTGTCAATCGTTGTTTTATCCTCAAACTGAAATCTTTCTATATGTAAGGAAGCAATTGCAGTTTTCTTTGCAGAGGTCTTGCATATAAATCTTTGCTGAGTTTTTTGTTTGTTAATCCTTATTTTTATATCCACATTTTTTTGGGGGGGTGGGGAACCAGTTATGAGTTTAAGAACTTGACAATCCATATTTTCAACTCCATTTATATATATATATCCCCCCCCCCCCCCCCCCCCCTCAACCAAAAAAAAAAAAAAACCCTTCTGGGTTGTAGTTTCAGTCTTATTGACTTAATGAACTGACAGTTATATTTGATATATTTTCCTTTATAAGAAAAGTCATTGTTTGGTTCTAGGATGTTGTTTTTTATTTGTGTTATCAGAATAAAAAAAAGGTTTAGTCAATTTATTTTCATATTTATTGAACTTAAGAAAAACAATCAGCCTGTTTTTTTTT